CAGACGGGAAGCGTAGTACAGGACAGAGGTTGGCAAACTCTGACCTGCGAACTAAGAATGTTTTTTTCAGATGAACATTTACGATCAGTTTGATGATAGGGAACACTGACTTTCAACCCCAGTTAAACAAGATGTTACTTTTCTATTCCATTTTTTCATTAGTAGACCTGTATTACAAAACCTTGTAGTCAATTATTATATTTTGGATTTCATCTATAAAAAATTTGTGGAAATTTGTTTTCTCTCTTGTTATGTAAGTACCTACATAATATCCTTGATTTTGCTTCTTGGCCCGTAAAGCCTAAAATATTTACTTATCTGACCTTCACAGAAAAAGTTTTCTGATTCCTGATTTAATGGAATAAACAGAGGAATGGAAAACAACTGCCACATTCTTGCTGTGTGACCTTGGGAAGTCACTTCACTTCTCTGGTCTTGATTTTCATTATCTATAATATGGAGATAAAGGGTGTTGTGTGGATGAGATAAACTCTATGGTGAACCCCCCGCATCCCCCCGCATTAATCAAGTTTTTGATTAATTAGTTAATAATACAAATATTTATTGAGCTACTACTATGTACCAAGAATTGTTAAAGGCTTTATGGATACAGCAGCAAACAAATTCCTGTCTTGGAAAAGATTGCCATTCTAAATGAAAAGAGACTTAAGATGCAATGACTGGTCTGAGATTGGATCCTGATTTGAACAGACTAGCTTTATGGGACATTTTGGGGAAAAGTAGGGAAATATGGACGGGTATTAGATGATATGGAAACTTATCAACATGGAATGGTGGAGGTCATTATCTGAAAAAAGCAGTTACAAAGCATTATGTACATGTATTATCTCATTTTGGTAGAAAATGTATATGTATATTATATATACTTAGAAAAAGATCTGGAAGGATATATACTAAGCTGTTAACAGTGGTAATTTCTGGGCGGTGGGAAAATAATGTTTCTATTTACTTATTCTTGTTTTCTAATTTTCTACAATGAACATAGACTTGTAAAAATAAAGGATTCTAATTTGAAAAATAATCTCTATTTTCACGGAGCTTACATGCTGGTGCCTCTTGTGAGTATTAATATTGCCAAATCTGCCACTTTTTCTGGGGGAACACATGGAAGAATAGAGAGTGCCCCTCCTCCTGCAGATAACAAAGGATCAAGGCGTTCTCTGTGAAATAGCGGCAGAATGTAAGCTGATGCTGCCGGCATTTCCCTTGGAGTTATACTGGTAAGTAGAGCTTTTTTGTACCCAAGGCTTTAGAATGGGGTGGGCTTTTGTAGAGTGGCCAGAATTAAAAAAGGAGTACTTAAAGTAACATGGGGTTGTTTTGTTTACCCTATTTAGGCCAGCAACACACTTATCCTCCTTGCCCACCCAGACTGGAGCAACATTCATTTGTTCTGTCAACACTTATTGAGTGCCTACTGTGTGCCTGATACTGTGATAGATATTAGGGATATAGCAGAATATACACAGTCTCCACCCTCGTGTAGATTACATTCTCATGGGAAAGATGGGTCAATAAACAAGTAAATTGATACATAAAAATATATTTCAGACTGTGATCAATGATAAAGAAAATAAATAGGCTAAATGACAGTAATTGAGACAGACTGTTACATATCTGGTGATCAGGGGTAGCTTCTTTAAAAAGGTGACATTTGAGATGAGACTGGAAGAATGACCCAGCCATGAGAGGAGCCGGGGAAAGAATATTCTAGGCAGAGGGAAGAGTAAGTGCAAAGGCCCTGAAGCCAGAAAGGATTTAGTGTGTTGAAGGAACGGAAGGAGGCAAAGGAGGCTAGAAGGGTCAAGAGATTGGACTCATTCTAAGAGTAGGGAGAAGCCGTTTAACTATTTTAAGAGTGACATCTATCACTCTGTTTTCAAAAAATAAAAAAAATCTCTGTGTGGTAGACAGAATAATGACCCCTGCCAAAGATGTCCATGTACTAATCCCCAGAACCTGTGAATATGTTATTTTATATGACAAAAAGGACTTTGCAAATGTGATTAAGGATTGTGACATAAGGAGATTATCCTGGTGGGTCCAGTATAATTACAAGAGTCCTTATAAGAAAAAGGCAGAAGGGCCAAAGTCAGAGGAAGGAGATGTGATGTTGGAAGCAGGGGTCATAGAGATTTGAAGATGCTATGCTCCTGGCTAGAAGATGGAAGAAGGAACCATTAGCCAAGAAATGTAGGCAGCCCTTAGAGGATCGAAAAGATAGAGGAATAGATTCTCCCCTAAAGTCCTCAAAAAGAACGCAGCCCTGCTGACACCTTGACTTTAGCCCGTGAGACCCATTTTGGGCTTCTGACCTTCAGAATTGTAATATACATCTGTGGTGTTTTAAGCCACTAAGTTTGTGGTAATTTTTTACAGGAGCCATACAAAACCAATACTCCCTGTGTGGAAAGATAAACCAAAAACTAATGAGATTAGTAACTTCCAGGGGTGGATAGGAGCAGGGTAGAGAGGATTGAGGAATGGGAATGGGAAAGTGACACTTTGCTGAGTTTACATTTTGTATATAGTTCTGATTTTTAGAATCATGTTAATATTTCATATACTAAAAAAAATCAAGATCAATATGGACGAAAGGGGGACCCAAAACGGAATGCAAACGGAAACAAAGGAACTTAACTGTATTACAAATGAATAACAACCGCACTGAAGGCGTGGGAGCAGATAACTAACCTAAGTGTTACGGACTGAACTGTGTCTCCTCAAAATTCATATGTTGAAGCCCTAACCCCCGATGTGACTGTATTCGGCAATAGGGTCTTTAAGGACATAATTAAGGTTAAATGAGGTCATAAGGGTGCGGCCCTAAACCAATATGACCAGTGTCCTCGTAAGAAAAGGATACGAGGGATGTGTGTGCACAGAGAAAAGGTCGCATGAGGACACAGTGAGAACGTGGCCATCTACAAGCCAAGGAGAGAGGCTTCGGGAGAAACCAAACCTGCTGACACTTTGATTTTGGACTTCTGGCTTTCAGAACTGTGAGAAATAAATTTCTATTGTTTAAGCCAGCCATCGGTGGTATTTAGTTATGTCAACCCGAGCAGACTAATGCACTAAGTAACTTTGGAAAAGAGTGTTTTGACTATATACTCTAATGTAGTGGTTCTCAAACTTCAGTATGTATCAGTCACCTAGGCTTGTTAGAACTTCAGTTGCTGGTCCCCACCCCCAGAATTTCTGATTCAGTACGTCTAGGTTGGGAATGAAGAATTTGGATTTCTAACAAGTTCCCAGGTGATGCTGATGCTGCCGGTCCAGGGGCCACACTTTGAGAACCACTGTTCTAAAGCTAAAGACAAAAAACCCCAAAAAACCAAAACCAAAAAAAACTATATATAAATACTATACTCTGGTTGGTAGGTTTGTTTTCCATGGGGGTATGGGTTAGCGATTCTGAATCTACTTTATGTATATTCTAGTATCAAGCAAATAAGTAAATATACTGTTAATAATGAGAACCAGATTTTACTCTGTCAGAGGAAGGGGTTACACATAAGGAAAGACAGAAGACCAGTGGTGAGCAGAAGTATCAGTATGAATGCATCATTTTATATACACATACCCACCTACCCCCACAACCCTGCACACTCACACAGAGATAGATATAGAAATAGATATAGTTTGTATATATACATATATTTCCTAGCTCTGCCTGCTGAGAAAGCCTAGAAGCAATGACACCCCAATACCAATGAATATACCTAGCACTCAGATCTTGGTTTTTAAAATATCATTCTCCAAATAAAAGGGACCAGGACTTCTTGGAGAAATGGCTGATTCCGGGGCTGGGGCAGGCAGAGTATAAGATGAGCTTGGAATGTCTTCTGCCGGAAAGAAAGTGCTCATGGAATAATGGGGACATGTCAAAAGGATACAGGAGTCAATTTGAAGGAGTTCCCAATGGCAAAATCTGGGACAATTTAAGCAACAAAATAATGATAGTAATAGATTATAACCCATAGAGTAAAATAGGGATCTACAAGTCCATACTAATATAAAGACATAACTAACTAACTAAATAAATGAGGGAAAAGGGAAAGCACTTGTTTACAGTAGCATTCCAATTAATAAATGTAGAAAGAACAATGGAAATAGGAACTTATTATTTGGCAAGCACCACAGTAATAACTGTTTCAGGCAAGAATCATCAGTGGATACTAAAATTGTACTAGATACTAAAGAATCATCAGTGGATACAAGAATCGTCAATGAGGGATTGACGATGGGGAAAAAGGGGAGAAAGATGATGGTGGCTCAAACTAGTGGGGTGTCGGTGGAGATGGAGAGGGATGGATGAACTCAAGATGCATCTTGGCATCTCTGTGGGAAGGACATTGCACAGGAGGGAATAGAAGGGAGAACATCCTCATTTGAAAAGGAGGTTCACTGGGCATTACCTTCAGATAAAATACAGAACCAGAATAGACCCTGCATGCCTGTAAGTGTTTCCTCTAGATATCGTGGATTCAGAATCCTCTAGTATGTAAGCTGGACTATTTATCACAGAATTTGTATTTTATCTTTTTTTCCCCATAGTTTTTAGTAGTGTTCCTCTCATCCAAGGGAAAATAAGGAAAGGGGCTTTCTTTGGTTCCCTCCTGTGTTACCTTTTCCAAGGACGTCTCTCTCTCTCTCTCTCTTTTTTTTTGGTGAGGAAGATTGGCCCTGAGCTAACATCTGTGCCCATCCTCCTCTACTTTATATGTGGGACGCCGCCACAGCATGGCTTGATAAGCGGTACATAGGTCCACGCCCGGGATCCAAACCTGCAAACCCCAGGCCTCCAAAGTGGAGTGTGCGAACTTAACCACTATGCCAACTGGGGCCAGCCCCAGGACTTTTCTCTTGAGAATCCATCTTTGCCCTTTTCAAGAAGGGGTTTGAATTGTGTTGTTACGCATATTGTGACCTTTACAGAGCCCCATTGGCCGACTTGGGGTTCCACATGATGTGCCCTTCCCTACTTTTAGGTCTTTACCTGGAATACTCTCTTATTAAAATTTTGTCTGTCTTTTAAGGCTCAGCTCAAGAACCACCCCCTCTAAGTTGCCTTCCTGGATTTATTCAGCCCAAAGTTATCCTTATCTTCCCTGGGTAAGTCCTAGTCTTAGTTTATTCCTGTTATTTGGCCACCATTCACTCATTCGAAGTCATACTCATTGCTTTGTACTTATTTGTATTCATGGCTTACATCCTCTACCAGACTTTAAATTCCTTAAGAGTAGGTAATTATGTTGTTCAACTGTAAATGAATTATTTTTTTTCTCATTGTCAGATGCAAAAGAGATTCAACAGTAAAATAAGTTGATAAGTTCCCCTATGTACTTCGAATCTAATCTTTAGTTTCCATTGTTTCTACTGAGGACTTTTCCCGTGAGATGTTGGAGTTACTTTCTTTGTCCCCAGTGATCTCCTTTATAACTTAAAGTGTGTTGTTCTACGGTTTTCTTTTCCATGATCATTGCTTCCAGCAGGGGGAGCTCCTTACTATATATAGGTCAATTTCTTTTTCTTTAGGAGACAAAAGAAAGGAGACTTCATCAGGTAAAATATGAAAGCAATGGAAAAACCAACACTAGGAAGTAGAAACTGAATATCTCCTGGGATTTGACTTGGTCCCAGCACTAGCTGGCTACTCAAATGGCATTTTACTTCTTATAGTGCGTTTTGGTATGATTCTGGCTCATGTATGAAGATTTCTGTCTTCCCAATCTACTTCATTTCTTTCATCTACAAATATATGTTGAGTGTGTATTTTGTATTAGGTATTGTAGATGCTGAGGCTTCATCTTTGAACGAAACAGACCAAGTCCTTGACCTCCTGGAGCTCATATTCATAGGTGGGCAACAGACAATAAAGGAGATAAATAGATAAAATACATAGTCTGTTAGCTAGGGATAAATGCCAAAGAGAAAAAACAATGCAGGGTCTTGTAGGCTATTGTAAGAATTTTGACTTTTTCTCTGAGTGAGATGGGAAGCATTGGGGAATTTTGCGTGGAACAGTGATGTGATCTGACATTATTTTATTTTATTTTATATTTTATTTTATTTTATATTTTATTTTATTTTATTTTGGTGAGGAAGACCAGCCCTGAGCTAACATCTGATGCCAATCCTCCTCTTTTTTTTTTTGCTGAGGAAGACTGGCCCTGAGCTAACATCCATGCCCATCTTCCTCTACTTTATATGGGACGCTGCCACAGCATGGCTTGACAAGCAGTGTGTCGGTGCATGCCTGGGATCCGAACCGGCGAAGCCCGGGCCGCTGCAGCGGAGCACGCGCACTTAACTGCTTGCGCCACCAGCCCAGCCCCCTGACATATTTTAAAAGGAATGCTCTGGTTATTTTTTGGATAATAAGTTATGAGGGGACAACCTCGGGCCAGGCTGGTAGCAGTGGAATTGGGGAGAAATTATTGGATTTTTGGATATATTTTGAAGGTAAAGCCAACTGGATCTGCTAACAGATAAGATGTGGGATGTGAGAGAAAGAGGAATCAAGGAAAACAGGGTCACCGTGTTGCGCATAACACCGATAGCATTGAATAATATGTGACTGGTGCTCTCTGGAGTTGTGTAACACAGCATTTCTGTTCAGGATGATGCCAAAGTTTTTGTCCTGAGCAGCTGGAAAGATGGAGTTGCCACTAACTGCAGTGGTAAAACTGCCAAGAACAGGGTTGGGAGTATATCAGCAATTCACTTTCGGATATGTTGAATTTGAGATACCAATTAGATATCTAAGTGGAGATGTTGAATAAGCTGTGGGATATATGAGCCTGGCAACCATCAGCATGGTTAGGGCTGGAGATAAACATTTTTGAGTCATAGGCATCTAGATAGTATTTAAAGCTATGAGATGGATACAATCACCAAGAGAGTGAGAGTAGTTAGAGAAGAGAAGGGGGCCGATGAGATAGCCCTGGGGCACTCCCACGTTTAGAGGTTAGAAAGACAATGACGAATAAGCAAAGGAGACTGACGAGATGTGGCCAGTAAGGTAGAAAGAAAACCAGAAGAGAATGGTGTCCTGGAAGCCAAGTGAAGAAGGTGCTTCAAAGAAGAGGGAATGATCAACTAAAAAGAACTTCTGGTTGGCCAAGCAAGATGACGGCTGAGAATTCTCGCTAGAAGTTAGCACATAGAGGTCACTGGTGGTCTTGATAAAAGCTGTTTCAGTGGACAAAATCTTGATTGGAGTGGGTTCAAGAGAGAAGAGGAGGAGAAAAATTGTAGACAGAGAATATAGACAAATCTTTTGAAGAGTTTTGCTGTAAAGAAGAGCAGAGAGGGACAGGCCCCGAGGCATAGTGGTTAAGTTCAGTGCAATCTGCTTTGGTGGCCTGGGTTCACAGGTTTGGATCCTGGGCGTGGACCTACACTGCTTGGCAGCCATGCTGTGGCAGTGACTCACATATAAAGTAGAGGAAGACTGGCACAGATGTTAGCTCAGAGCTAATCTTCCTCAAGCAAAAAAAAGAGGAAGATTGGTGATGGATATTAGCTCAGGGCTAATCTTTCTCAGCAAAAAAAAAAAAACAAAAAGAAGAGCAGAGAAGCGAGACAGTAACTTGAGTGGTGTGTAGGGTCAAGAGAGGGTATTTAGAATGGGAGAAATAGTTGTAAGTTTGCCCCAGGAGCACTCACTGGTTGTTGGAGTTCACTTATTCACATGTGTTTCTTGGCATAGTAGCCAGTAATCCTCAGAGAAGCTAGACGTTGAGGAAGGGGAAGTTGTCAGCAGATTTGAGTGGAACAGACTCTAAGGAAACCCATGAACACCCTTTAATAAAATGGCTTAGAACCTCTGCAGTTAGCAAAAGAGAAAGTATCTCTATGTAGAAAAAATTGGGGCTGTGAGATCCAGTTGTCTCTCTCGCCTACATGGCAATGCCAGCCTCCTTTGCCAACCTTGGAGGGTCTGGCCTCAGTTACACTAAAGAGCCTGTGTGGGTCCTCTTCCAGAAACATTATCTATTGTACAGAAGGGAGAGGAAAAGAAATTCCTACAGATACTGTGAAGATACCTAAACCCCAGGTAGAGTTTGAACCAAGTGGGAAAACTGATGTACAAGTTCAGGCCACAGTTTCACTAATTATTTCCCTGTTCCTTAGCTAGAAGTGGCCTCAGCAGCAGAAGGTGGTGTAGAGCTGCGCTTGCTTCGTACCTTTGTGTTTCAGTAGATGGCTTTGAAAACACATACAAGTTTTACTGGTCTCCCTGTACTATTTGTATTTGAATTTCTTTCCTATTCTCATGTCTTCGAGGCCCAGCTCAAATGTCACCTGTTCTGCAGGGCCTTCTTTGAGCCCCCTCTCAGGCAAAATTAATCATTTCTTCTCTACATTTCCATAGCACTTTTTCTCTTTCTCTCTTCTGGCACATATTACATTGTATTAGAATTGCATATCATTGTAAACGGAAGAGGCAGTGGAGTGTAGCAGAGAAGGGCTCTGGAGCTAGGCTGCTTGGGTTCAAATGGTGATTCTTTCAAGTTGCTTAACCTACTTGTGCCTCAGTTTCTCATCTGTCTCATCTCAATTTAGTAATAATAATGATAATGATAATAATAATGATAGTACTGCCATCATAGGGATTTTGTAAGGATTAAAAAAGTTAATGCGTGTGAAGTACTGAGAACAGTGCCCAGTATGTAGTAAGTGCTCAGTAAGCTTTTGTTATTTGTCTCTGTTCTCCTTGAGGATGAAGACCATGCCTTTATCTTTGTACCACTGATTCCTTAGCCTTGGGCTTGGCACAGAATACTAGGTGCTTAATACATTTTTATGTGAATAAACCAGGTTTCAAATTAATTTAAGTTTGTGTTTAATGGTTTCATATGTGTATAGCCTTTTATCAGCTCACTTATTTATTCCTGTGTACCACTCCATGTTGTGGTTAAGAATGAAGGTTCTAGGGGCTGGCCCCATGGCGTAGTGGTTAAGTTCGGCATGCTCCGCTTTGGTGGCCTGGGTTTGTGGGTTTGGATCCCAGGCACGGACCTACACCACTTGTCAGCCATGCTGTCGTGGCAACACAAGTACAAAAAAAAAATAGAGGAAGATTGGCACAGATGTTAGCCCAGGGCTAGTCTTCCTCAAGCAAAAAAAGAGGAAGATTGGCAACAGATGTTAGCTCAGGGCGAATCTTCCTCAGCAAAAAAACCCCCAAAAAACAAAAAACAAAGAATGAAGATTCTAGATCCTGACTGCTTAGTTTGTATCATTGCTTTGCCACTTATTAACCTCTCAGTGCCTCAGCTTCTTCATCTGGAAAATGAGAAAAAATATAGAAAGTTAAACACAGAGTTACTGAGCATTCAAATGTTAACCATAATTATTATTGATCTTATTGTTAATTAAATGATTTAATGAACACCTACGATGTTCCAGGGACTGTGCTAGACAATAGGGATGCAGAGATGAATAAGGCTTAGATTCTGCTCTAAGAAAACCCATAAGCTAGTGGAGGAGACAAGTGTGAACAAGTCAGTATGTGTAGAGCCTAGCGGAGGAAGGGACCAATTTGACAAGAGGGATCAGTGAGGAGAGAACGGAGGATAGTGAGGTTTTTTTATGGAGGAGGTAAATCTTGAGCTTTGCATGTGTGGGTTGAGGGTCCTGAGATGATAATGTCAAATAAGTATCAAAATCCCTTTTGTGGTTTATCAGAAATGAGTTTTAGAACAGATTTCTCCCATCAGATTTCCTTAACAAGACCCCTCAGCAAGAGGCCCCATCCTGTATTTTGAAACCCACAGAAGCCATTCTGGGCCAACAACAATGCATCTTCAGGCCTACCCAAGTGCACCAAACATGGTTTTAAACAGTTTTCCTTGAGCAAAATTCCTCTTTCCTTTTGTAGTTAAGCCAGAGAGCCCTCACAGGCAGAAGACTGCATTTCAGATGCCTCTGTCCTGCCCTCTCCCTCACTCCCAATGAATTTTCTGAAAAGGTTGGCATTTCTGTTCTTCCCTTCCTCACCCCCACAATCAGGTGAGAAGAAAAATAGAGAATGGCATGTTTTCTAAGAAAAGGCCGAGACCCCTTTCTAGCTCACACTTTATTAATAGAGATCTCTCAGAGATGGT